TTTACAACTTGATAACTCGTTATTCCCTCGAGTGATACTGTCCGCCGAACACCCCCTCCCGTGGCCGCGTTCAAGGCAAGATAAGAGGAGGACGCGGGCACAACTCGGCAAGAAACGGCCCCGGCTCCGCGTGCGTGCTCCCCGGTATCGACCAGGGCCGATCGCTAAAGCATTAATAGTTTGTCCTCTGGCGTTGACCATCGCGAGGCCGCGTTGACTCACTTGTCAGCGCAACATTGCAAGCTGTTTGCGATCGATGGTGGGCCCGCATCAAACCGAATTCCTAATGAGCAGAATGCACTGCCTCTCACGATCAACTTGAATTTGACACTATACCGAGGGTGCTACAATAACGAAGAAAATGTAACGGCTGTAATGTCTACCTTACTGTGACTTCAGTGAGCAGTAAGGTTGACAAAAGCAGGAAAATCGATTTGGGTAAATTTCCCTTGATATTCAACATTCACTAAAAGGAATTCTCAAGGAAATTTGGAAGGTTTTTCCAATCCTCGTAGAGTTCCTTATCCTCTCGAGAAAAGCAACTCATACAGAGCTTGTGCAGTAAGCCTCTTCTAGCAGTACGCATGTACATTATTAGCTGGGCCTGAAATTCACCCGTTAATGCTAATTAAAAAAAATTAACCAACAGGACGATTAACAATTAATCTGGTAAAGTTACATCGTAGCAAAACAACACTGTTAAAGAATTCAATGTGACCTCCAAGGATAACTGAAGTTACCATAACTTGTGCTTTGTGCGTGGATACTTTCAAACTACTTGTATTTACAAAGAATACCACCAAAACGGAGGCAGCTGATGTTTTTGACAAACCTTGGACAAAAAGTACCATGTTTTTTTTTTTTTGCCCCTGTAGTACGGTATTCTGCATTGATTTCTCAGGCACGATTTAATACTTGCAGGTGTCACCTCATACATGACACATTGGGTTATACACCGCAGTGGCGCTTGCAGCATAATCGAGCGGATCATGAAAGTCATGCAAAGCGTCTGGCACGTGTTCGTAATCATGCACCCCCGAAAGCAGTCGGCGCATTACCATAGGCGGCTGTTAACGCGCTGGGCTTCATATGATCAAGGCTGTGTAGATTGGACCACGCTTTGACGGAGGTGGGCGACGACATGGTCCCTCGGTTCACGGTCATCCAGTTGTTATTATTATTGAAAGGGTTTGTGTATTAACGTTAGAGCACCGAGGCGTGAGGTGCGTGCTTGGATGGTCAGGGCCGTGTTAGTATTACATACACCGGTCGGCTCACAAATCTTTACCTTTGTTGGGAACTGAGGGTCAGCGCTGATCAGAAATTCAGGTTTCCCTTGGGTTGGACATGTCACACTTCTTTCTAGGAACAGTTTACCTTTTATTTTGAAGAGAGTACACCTCCGTGGCACTGGTCGACGTAGGCTAGGCCTATATGTAAGTTCTGAAAATCTTGACATGGCTGACAAGCACTTTACAGGGATTGCTAACGCATCGAGGCCAATGTTGCCCTACAGAGTAACTCTACCTCCAGCTACCTTCGACCGTTTACCAACACCCCCCTGCCCCGTAACATGCAGGAAGGAATCCTCCTTGTTCGCACTTTGCATGGCATACCACGGAACCGACTTTCGATAGCTTGGACCACTCCACAGGTCAATGAGTTAAGCTATCTGTACCACTACGCCTTTCCGTCCCACATCTGTCAGCGGGCATGCTATTGTTGACTTGATAACTTACCAAAACAATTTTACCTTTTAACCTTTTCAAATTAGCCTACTTGATTGCAATGTTATAAATCCCCTTCGAAATGGTGCAACCCTCTAAGTCCATTCATGTTCACTATTAAACATATTAACGCAGGCTAAAATTGGGCAACATTGTTAAAATGCCAAGCCAGAAAAGAGTTACCCCCAACTGTTGTCTCCGTTTCTGCCCGGACCTAGTTTGAGTAGAGGGTCCTTGGTTTACGTCGTGTTCCCATCACTCCAAGTTGTCAACAGTCCACAAGTTAGTCGAGTGCGTTTGAGAATGTGCTATTAAGTGGCATAGTTTGTATTTACAACCAAATGTTCTGCAAACACACACGCACTGAAGGAACCCTAACTTCTGGGAAATCATGCACCGGCTCCGAAATAAATTTCAAAAAACTGTTATGATGGCAGAGATTGCAGAGTGTCTGAAACAAATTTTAATTTGTTACGCTGAAGAGGTTTTTTTTTTAAATCAACCTTACAGATCTACTCAATAAAACAATGCATCTCGTTGATATGACAATCCAGACTTCAAATCAGGTTAATTAAATCGAGTTAGAAAAACTGAGTCTCGGTAGGTTTTGTTGTATTTCCGTCTCGCCCCGTCTTCGTGGCACTAGGCCTATGCTCCGGACATTAAGCCCTTTTAGATAAAGCAGACATTCCATTACACTTCTTCGAAATGTGACACCTCCCCGGAGAACCTTCGCCTCTCCCCTCCCCAGGTGTACTCATTCTGACAGCGTGTCAGTTGGCACCTACGCGGCCGACTAATCATTTCCGATTAAATTAGGTGGAACTCCCTCCCGACGCTAGTACGGATTGTGCGGTCAAGCTGCGGCACTGGCCGTCAGTGGCATAACGCCGTTATCCGCGTCAAAAGCGAGACCGAGGTGAGATCAGCCGGCGACAGCGACGAGCAAACCGCAGGACAGGTTACACAATTTTCAGTGAGGAGACGAAATAACAATTACAGTCAGCCGCACTGACTTCTGTTTTCCTCTTCGATTTTCTATAATTATGTTGAACAGATTACACGCATTTCTATCACGTGAAAGCATGTACGCAATTAACTTTGATATATTTACGTCTGATGTAATAATGAGAAAAGAAAACTGTACAGAAACGAACAGAAGTGTCTTCGATGGAAACGTCGCGTCTTAAACGATGTCCTGCCCCGTATAAATTTCCAAAATCCAAATGTTTCTGGACATTTCCCTCATGATCTTTGCAGCCAGTGACATGCATCTTCAGCTTACAAAATACGACAAATTATCAACGGGCTATTATCAAGTGGGCCTGCAATTTTTTTTAACATACATGTAGGTTTCCCTTTAGAGCATCATTTTGGTTTGACACAATGTCCTCCCCTTTTACAATATCAAAATACAAGATATTCATAAAATATGCCGCACATCCTGTCAATAGAATGATTCACGTTCGCCTTTGCCTAGAACACCAACGCAGCAATAATTGGACTTTCCTGCGGCATTGTATTCAAGCTAATTGTGTGTCGGGTGAGCCTAAGCTCCGCTTGTTGTCAAGGCCATTTTTCATGCAACCTGTTTTTAAAGTGTAAATAACTCCTAATGGCACGCAAAAACTGCAGGATATAAGGCGCACGTTTTTGAGTAAACTTGTTGTGTAGTCTTCCGTCTTTGACGCACGTACATACACCGGTACCAATAATTTGAAAGGCAGTTTCGGTGTTTTGACAATACTTTGGGGAGACAGTGCCAAGCTGTCTGCGCGACATGAAAAGGAGTAAAGCGGCTGACTGCGTCACAGAACACCCAGCATTGATAAACCCACCGGTTCCGTTTGACAAAGGATCGATTCACTAAAATTAATGAAATCCTACAAGACTATTCAGCACAGAATGTTCCCAAAGCGGTAGGCGGACGCTGACGTGGTTTCCTCAAAATCCCCGAAAGGTGCTTTTCACCCCAACCGTCCCCAAAGCCTCCAAAGTGACGAAATGTGAAAGGTTAAATTTCAAGCAAATCGGATTAATTTCCACCATAATTATGCACTTAGATGACATTTTGACCAATGAGGAGATCAGGACCATACGCATATCCCGCTGTCCATGGCTAAAGGGTGGAAAACGTCCGACAAGCTGTAAGAATTTCAGTATGATTTTCAAATGAAAATAAATCTGTTTTAAAACAACTAGTGCATATTAAAAAGTAAAAGAAAGATGCGGTTTGCTTGTAATTCTCCTGCAATATCGGTGATCTTCCTACCATTTTGTAAAAATCCTCACATCTGCAGAAATTCGGGTAATAAAAAACTACTTTGTAATCCCATACGGATCCTCATAAAAATCATTCTCAGGTAATATTAAATCCTACATCTTTGTCGCCAAAATTCAATTTAAAAATACGTTTTAGATTTTGGGTTTTCGCTAGACGTTGACATTTTCTGTCTGTCTGAAAGACACGCGATAGGCATCCAGGCCCTGCTGTATAAATATTTATCCGCCATCCGCGAGACACCAACACGCCAGATATCCAATTGCAACTTCAATATACCGTCTATCAACAGAAAATGGGTTAAGTGTAAACAGTATTATGATACTCTCTCGGTATCGATAAAAGATATAACTGGTTGGAGTTTTGCTGGCAACAGCGACGATGTACCGGTACACCGCGTGTAAACCAAACCTCACGAAGTGGCCCTGAACACACGCGCGTCACTTCAAAATCATTTTGAAGGAGTTCAATTTCTGTACTAATGGATTCTATAACTCAAGAGCAACGACTCGTGTTCCTGAGTTGGATTAAGTTCAAAAGAACAGGCCAAAATGAACTGTGTAAGTGATACGTGCAAAGAGATGCTGTGTTTGGTTTCACTTGTCACGGTTCAATCCCACGTGAAAAATTGCGCCAGGAAAACAAATACATTTCACACGTTGGCAGTCCGTGGCAATGTATACGTGAATTTACATGTGAGCCTCGACTTCGCCATTACGCCATTAACAAGCACCGTGTCGGCTGTATACAGACCCTTTGTTAGCCATGAGGGAATTGTAAGCGACTGCTTTACATCTGATTTGAGATTATGCATTTTCTCACTATAGGTCGCGATGCGAACGACTGGTTTTGTGCTGAGTCCCCACAACTTCGGTAACGGGATCCCCCCACCTGTAAAAACAGTACAGTAAAATCACATTCAACAGAATTGTATACGTGCTGTAAGCTGATTAATCAGAATCTAGTAACTTGAGGATAATCCGACAGCTTACCTGATTGCGTTATTGTCAAAAGTGGTGGAAGATGTTGTCGATCTGATTCGAAATATTTGCAGATAAGCCAGCCGGTTTTTCACGTTTGTTGGGCAGAGTAAACTCTCGCGGCCTGAACAAACACTGATGGAAGGCCGCCAAGTATTCGAACTCAGGTTGAACCGCAAGATTCGTGGCAGCAATATCTGAAAGGGAACACACTAACTAAATTCCCCACATTCCCGTCATAGTTACCACCAAAATGCTTGAACTTTCTGATTGTGTGGAGGTGCTTGCTACATTGTGTTGAGCCTCCGAAGTCAACTTACGCGGTGTGGATGTTCAAATGCGTAAAAGCGCTGAGGCACTTCCATAATATAGTGTACTGAGTGAAAAAAAAAACCTTTTTTATTTGCCAGTGAAACGTGCCTATCCTCGTTTGCCGATCTCGACGACCGTTCCGTGTCTGATTTTTGCAGCTAGCTGCCCAGAAAACACACAATCGTTTGGCCTTGGGCTTCCATGCATGAGCCACATAGAAGGGGAATTTTCACGCCGTAATAGTCTTGCATGCTGTAATTGCGCTGTGGGAAATCACGCTGGCTAGATATATTCTGCAAGATTATAGTAGCTGATATTACAATGGAGGGGATCCCTGATCGCTGCGATAGTGTCTGCAATGCCACAGTGACATCTCCATCTGATCGAAAGGAAATGAAATTTTAGCGTCGAATTCTGATCTATCACACACCACAGGTCCCCTACTACTCTTAATCAATTTACCAATACAAACAAGCTGACGAAAAACTGGTGGGAAAAGCAAGGCCGTCAAACCTTGGATAACTTGACAAGAGAAGCAAAAAAAGTTATTTTTGCTGCTATTAGTATTCTGCCCTGGTCAGGATTCTGTATACCTGAATCCTAGGTGATTTTTCATTTGCCTCATATGAATGTAACTCATGATCTATAGCCATTAAGCGTACACGTTGTCTTACATGCAATCCGACGACCAGAATTAGCTAGTTCGGTATTTCCAACAGCGCATGCTCAGCACAAGGCATATCCGGTTCGTAAGTGACTTCGTCACAAAGGCGGACGCGCCACGTGCACGATATGCAGGCTCCCATTGGATGATCGCTAAAGTTGCGCGTTAATTTCCGGTTCCACGGTTCCATGTATAATTATGGCCATCAATGCATGTAACTCTATGCGCAGTGCATGTGACGTGGGCGTGGTTTAAACTGAAGTGATGTCACACTCACGAACTGGATTCTGGGACAGGTACGCGCACGCATGATATGCTGCCCTATCAACGCAGCCAAAAGGTGCCTTTCCATATGCGCGTCGACACTGACGTCAAGCGTTACGTATCCGTCCAAATCGTTACCCAGGCGATTTTGACAGCCGAACGCAACACACACGTGTGTTATATTATAATTATGGAGTCGATGTTTTGTCCGTGAAAGTGAAATGCATGAACGCATCGTGTAGCCTATGCAATGCACCCCCCCAAAAACGTACATATGGAAAGGTGCCTATACCCTGACTCACGCGCGCGCTTTGTTCCCGAAAGACCCTGGCTTTTTTAAATACCGGACTGGTTCATTAAAGAAGCCACTGCTGAGGTGGCGCGACGCACTTGCGCTGTATACGGCGCGCGCGTTAATTGCCTCTTTGAGACGCTTGGCGGTAAACTGTGTGCATGCTTAAAATGACGCAAACAACAGAAACGGTATTTTTGCCGCCACCAAGCGTCGTAAAAGTCCTCCGCTGTTAAACTGGTCTTCACATACCTGGACCTATATTGACCTATCGCCGTTTACAAATTAGCCACTCCCCTCAGACAACCCTATGAAATTTTGTACTTGAGTTTGTTATCTCCGATTTTCGCGTCCTGTGTCCATTTTGTATATCATGTAACTAGGACAACGTTTAATCAGTTGTTTCGACGTGAGTCTAGTTCGATAGCTTTGGGGCAACAAGGGAGTCACTGTAGGGCGTGAGTGCGGTAACACCACACAAATGATCTCACCTTAGATCATATAACAAGCTTGAATGAATGACGATTCTGTGTCACAGTTTTATCAAGACAGAGTATCACTGAAACATGGAATCATCCATGAAATTCCTCGGAAGCGGGCAATGTCGTGACATTCTGTCATTCTTTCCGAATTTACCACTGGGTCGCCTTTCACAGGATTTCATGACCTTTGGGGAAAGAATTCAGTGATGGCACAACTCACAAAACGCGTGGTACACGGGTCATTCCATGAGGTTGGGGCACAATTTGTGACGGTGTCAATTGTTACATGGGTTCCGTGAAAACGACGGAACAGCTATTTACCTGCATGTGGATTCCAAGTTGACATTGTTATAGGCCTACTTGCATGGTTGAATACAGAGGTGTGTGTTATTTTTACAGAGTAAATGACTTACTCTACAGTTCATGACAGGTGGTGAAAGTTTTTGATGTAACAACGACACCGTCACAACCTCACACAATGAACCATATCGCGATGACATTTTTCAGAGAAATAAAACATAAAACTACGGAGCTCCAGATGTGCCATCTAACTTGTTCACCTCTTGAAATCTGAGGATGAAATTATTACACGAAATAAACTGCACTTGAATTATCATGGCATAACGACACCGCGACTTGATGTATCACGTGACAGATACATATCCTTTGAAATGGATTTCGACATCCTTTGGGTAACTTTCAGGATATTGTCATTTTGCACTGAAGTATCTGAAGGATGCTGACATCCCTTTATGGGGACTTCACCATCTAGGCTAAGCCTGTCCCCACGAGTCTTGTCACTCCATGCTGTAAAAATCTTGGCCATAAACTGTTGCCCCCTGATATAAAACCAAAAAGAATGCCGAAAAGCACTTACGGAGTTAGTATACTTCCCTAATTTTCTCCAGGATAATGCTATAACATTTCAAAGTTACCCGAATTTCTATTACGGCATTCCACTTTGTCAGTGACAGCCTGTGGCAGGATCCTCTATTTTTAGGAAATTCCTCATTTCTGCGAAAGACTGTAATGAAATACTGCCTTTCCACACTAAGTTATCACGCGTACAATCTATTTTCAAGGAATTTCCCCGTAGTTTATGACTGAATTTTGTTTCCAAGATATTTTCTCACGGTAATGCAGTAACGCACGTGGGCAGTCGGTCATCATGTAAAGTTTGGGGAGTCTTCAAGAAGACACGGCACGGATTAAATTTGACTAAAAATTACAATCAGAGGAAAAATCTCACGTACCCAATTTCACTGAGTATACTGTACATGAAGCGTAGGCCTATTTTATTCGAAATCTTCAGAGCAGACGTGACACCGACCAGATTTGACGCACAAGTACCTTTTGCGATCATGTCGCAAAGTGGTTTTGTTTGGCGTCTATCTCGGTGAAACTGTCCATTTTATCTGTCTGTTCACCTGGGGCGTTGCAAGCCGCTTCGATTTATACCTCTCGTGTCGATGTCATGATCACCATGGATGTAGATAAACGTTTCATCAAGGTGTTATTCAATGATTCATCCGAAAAAAATGCTCGTTCACGCTCGTTATTTTTTTCAATGTAATTCTTCCATCCCAGAGTGATCGAAATATTGTAGAAACGAATATTTTTCTTTAAACAGGCCACTTGAGCGCAATACATCATACCTCTCTAATTAAATTGACTACATTAAAGAACATTTTTTCATAAAATATAAAATATTTAAAATTACTAAAAAAAATTTCTGGGTCTCCCAATAAATCTTTGTTCTCACTACTGAAGGGGAACACTTGGCAAAACGAATTGATCTTGATTACGTTGACTAAGAAGTCATTGGAATGGCATTCTCCTTTCTAGGTTAGCTTCTTATCACAAAGTGGCTTCGTAGCTCTGCTGAAACGGAACACGTCATCAAACTATTTTTACAACATATCACTCTACATCTATTTCCCTGAAATAACCATGCCCTCTTTACTTAAGACCTAACCCACATTCGCTGCAAGTAGTCTCAGTTTCCATGGTATGTGATTGCGTGTTTATAATGTGATTGATTGAGACAATTTTATTTCTCCAAATTTATAACTGACATGAAACAGCCACCTGCACCAATTGTTATTTGCTACGAAAGATAATGCAAGCAACTTCTGGGAAAAAAATGTGTTGGGAATTGATAGCGGGGGTCAGTAGCAGCATCAGGAATATAACTGGGAAGAAAAGTCTACTTATACGTATCAGCTGTGTTATCAACAGCTGTAGTAGCCTCGATCAATAGATAGTAAACTTTATTTGCTAACGATTTTTACATAATGCATCGGACTTGCGACATTTGAGCATTCTCGTTTGCGAATTTGAAGTCCCCGCGCATAAGCTGCGGGCTCAGCTGGATCATGATGATTTGTCAAGCATGAACTCAGTGCGAGGGAAACACTCCTAGAATCACTTATTGTTTGATATCATCCACGGTGCCTCCAAGCCAAATTAACACTGCTAAACATTGTGGCCGAACAGCAGTATTCTCCAAACGCAAATACTGTTACTGATTACAGAGAAGGCCCGGAGGCAGTGTGATTGTACACGGATACCGGCATAAATATGGATATCAGTTCCTCCCGCGGGATTTCCTCACAGATCTAACCATGTCAAGATTCAACCATTAGTCTGGCATGTACAAAGAAAGAAAGAAAGGATTTTGTATCGCGTCAGAACAGGATGAGTATCACACTGACGACAGCAAAATTTGACACTTAACCTTTGCCAACTCTTCAAAATAATCGGCGGCGGCGGTTGAAATGCATCATGCATAATCTGGCTCTTTTTCAGTGGTCACACTAAAGAATACTATACACATTAATCTTATTCGATGTACCAGGACGTGAGAATTGTTTGTTTCTGGAAAAAAAGTGAGTGTTACTGCCGTGGGGAATGTATTTCTATCAATCTTGCATTTCCACAAGTATACAGTATTACAGCCCTAACTCTGCCGAACCCAATTGGACAAGCTATTACTGAAGACGAGGACTTTTTATCGCTGTTTGTCCTAGTGATTCATACCGCCTAGGTTGTCTGGAAATGGAAGACATTAAGCCTACCTCCCACACGAACCTCTACCCTCTTGTCGACTTCCCAAGATGTAGTATTTAAAATGATACCGATCACAGCGTCCTGGGCAACGTTTCCAATACAAATGGGACTATTTTTCTGGTGACACAGGAGAATAAGGATATTGTCACCAAATTTTAGAAAGCCCAGTTTATCACATTTTAGGTACATGACTACCTTTCCATATTCCACGAACAAAAAATGCTTCCTGCGTCCATCATGCACAACCGAGCGAGCCCAATGGATTTTCCATGTCAATCTGGCAGGGAATCATGGTCGTCCCTTCTGCTATACGCAGTCGATGAGCCGCAGAAGACGCTGGG